ACACCCTGAGCACAACGTTTTCATCAAACTATTCATGTTATTACGTTATTACTCCTCTTCAACAATCGTTTGTGACAATTCATCCCCATCTAGGCATTAATGAAAACAAAACACGTAGATCAGCGAAGAGTCTCAACTACTTCTACTCTCATGGTAACAATGTTTTGATATGTTTTGAGTTTTTTTATTTTTATTTTGATGACTTAATTTTGTTTCTTTGCCTGTTCTTTAATTGCTTATAATTCTTGTAGTCACTTAGATCTCTTACATAATTTCCTATTATCTACTTTCTTTCTATATGCATCCCGAGTAAAACCCACTCATCAAACTATTCCCATTATTATTATTTAACTTCTTTTAACAACCGTTTGTGACAACTCACATCACCTTTGTTACTACCCTAGTTTCATTTACACTTAGTTTTCTTGACTTGTATTACCAACCTTCACCTGTTTAGTTAAAATAACCTTAACCAATTGTAATTTTGTTTGACAAACTTAATGTACACACACATACAAAATAACACATATATATATTTGCGATTGTACAGCTAAGAAAATGAATTCGCCGAAAAGAGACTCTTCTCTGAACTACTGCTCTGCTGCCTAAAAAACTAGTTTGCCTCATCCTAGAGAGAATAAAAGATGCACTGCATGCAGAACTCCACCAATACGAAACAAGTTAGATTCAGGAAAGGCAAATCATGTGTTGGTCAAATTGCAGCACAAATAAACAAGCCTGGAGAATGGTAGTCAAATCACTACCCAACTTTATCGACTTTGAAAGGCCTTCGGTAGGCAGCGTCGACTGAGACGTAATTTCGAAGCTAATTCAACACTACGGAGTGCAGTGCTCCATATCTTTATCAACCTTACTCAACACCTGGCTATATGACAATGTCACGTGTCAGGTGATCTACAACAGAAAACTCAGTGAGGTGTTTGAAGTGAACATATGGGAAATACAAGCTGTCTGCCTATTATCAGACACGATGATATCCTGAAATGTGGTGTACTGGATCATGTGTCAACTCTGCACAGGGAGAGAGAAGACAGGAATACGCCGGACCACCGACAAGAAGAGTCTAGAGCAAGTGGATTTCTCGGATGATTCATTTTCATTGTCACACAAAATTGAAGAATTCCATGAGAAAACCAACAAACCGGCTGAAGAACTAGAGAAGACAGGACTCCCGATGAACACTGATAATACGGAGGTGATGAAAACAATCGAATAACCAACTATAACGACCAGCCTCAATCAGTAATAACGCGAGAAATTTGACAGAGGTAACTTCCTTCACTTATCTACCCAGGCAGCATCCTCTCAACCACATGAAGAACCTACGAAGACGTCAAACGCAAAATATGTAATGCAAGACAGTCCTACATACCTCTGAAATCAGTTCAGACATCGTTTCCTCCAGGAATTAAGAAAGAAATTCTAATTTTCAATACCATAGTTATGTCACTTCTCCTAAACTGATTAGAAACTTGATTAGCGCCTCAAGCGAAGGATTTTTCTCAGCCAGCTACAGAGTATTATCGACAACTGAATTCTCTGGCTTCATATTAATTATCGGATAATCAGTCGGAAAGATGTGGTAAGAAGAAACTCTGTGAACGAACCGCTCAAAAACCTATCACTTGGAAAATATTCCTCAAAAAATAGAGACGGATCGGACACACTCGGTGGATGCGACTACACATCAGGCCATCTCTCGAGTGGAACCTGGAAGGTAATCGACGAGTTGAGTGTCAGCAGAGCGGAAGAAATCAAATCTTTTGGGTAACTTTGAAGCCAGCTGAAGAAGGGAAAGTGGGGACCTACTGCTAAACCCCTATATCCACTAGGAACCCAATCGAAACAATAATAAATTAACAAATAACAATGTTTCAATGACATAAAATTAAAATCTAATCAGTTCACCAAATCCGCACAAGGTGTTCACTTTTTTTTCTCATTGGTGAGAGGTAGAAACTATTGGACATGTAACACAATAAAACATGACTTGTTTGTTTTTCTAAACTGTTCACATTTGTTTTTAATGGTCGCTGAGATTATGTCAGTAGTGAAATTGCATACGCTGTTGTTTGTATAAACTAAATTAACTACAATTGGAACAATTACTTTTTTTGTTTTGTTACCTTTTTTATCAATCCTAAAATCTACACATAAATTGTTATGCCTTATAATTTTATACATTCAGTTTAACCTCATTTCTAAAGTAATTTGTGAACGAAATATAAAATATGAAAGTGTGCACTTTAATTGTGTTTCATAATTATTAAGAAATGAGAAATTCATGACTTGATTTATTTGAATTTTATGGTACATAGAACACTGTGACATTGTTGATATTTAGTGGTTGGAGACAATCGGGAAGAAGCCTTGTACTTGTAGATGTCAATCCGGAAGTCTACCTGCAACCATGAAGGAACTCGCGTCCTTCCTTAGATCCGAACCTGTTTCACCCAATTCTGTAGTTAGAGACGTTACCACTTAGCTATCTGTGCTATCGACTGGCCTTCTGTCAAGGACAGTACCAACGTGAGACCGAGCACTTCGGTCCAATCAATGGACGGAAAAATCTAAAATTCAGTTAAATAAAACCGAATACATACTCGGTGGTATAGCGGTTAAGACGCTTGCCGACCATGCATATGGTCTTGAGTTCGATCCGCGACCGTCGCACTCCTTTACCTCACTGAGCCAGAAATAATGCCGGTAAAGAGGAAAGGTTGGGCATGAGGCTAGCAACCCCATCCTGTAAAAATTAAACACTGCTACAGAAACTTCAAGCCACTAGCTTGGAGCCCTATGTTCCACTGGGAACGTGAAGGAAAAATTATATTATTATTATTATTACATACTCAGGGAAAATATGCTGTCGTTGTCGTTACTGTCATTGAAAAAAGAGTAAAGATTATATTGAATGAAGTCTAAAGAATTATGTACACACTATTGCTATCATTATTATTCTAAAGCTGGTGTTCCTAAAGGTGCCGTCCTCCCTCCTTTTTTTTTGTCTTTCTTCCTTCGTGACCTGCCTCATTCAAACGAAAGTAACTTTGTCAAATATGCAGATGATCTGACTGTATCACTGCCTATCACTTCCGAGTCTGACAGCTCCAAACTTAACAGCTTTCTGTTGGACATCAACAAGTGGTTTAAGTCAAACGGTCTTATGTTAAATCCTTCCAAATGTCAGGCAGTTGACTTTACTTTCAAGCATCGACGTGACTTACATGAACTAGTTAGTTCCCATGACGCCTGTAGCATAAATGGCACGGAAATTGAAACCAAGTCAAGCATTAAATACCTTGGATTAGTTCTTTCCTCTGACCTTTCATGGTCATTCCACATCTTATCTATATCTAGGAAAATGTTTCGTCTTACCTTCTACATTAAAAAGTTAAGAAAATCGGGTATCAACCAATCTTTGGTTTTGCAATTTTCATACTAATGTATTTTAGAACAAAATATTTAGAGCAAACAATTGTTTTCAATAAATTCTTCTTAAGGCTCTACAATTATAAATCCATCAATGTAAACATACAATAGCCAGTAAAGGCGAATTAGAATCACATCAGAATGTGCGTTATGGAACAAGTATAAGATGGGATGAAACAATAGTCATATAGTCATATAGATTTTTAAAATGCATGGTCAATGACAACATGGGACAAAATGAGATGAAATAATTTAATTTAATGATGTATATATATATATATATTGGAGACTAGTCAATGGAATGTTGATGCATCACAGGGTACATACTCAGACTCGAAACCAGAAGTTCTAACTCCCTGGATAACTGGACCAAGAAAGTCACTCACCTATTTCGCATCAAACGCCATTTGTTAACCATTTAATTAATTCTCAATTTCCAACTGATTGAATAGGCTCAACCGAATTTCTCTTTCATTAATGATGAGACGCTTCCAGCTGACAGCTTCTAAATAGGATGAAAAGCATATTCTAGGATCCACTTCTAGTGACGTGCAGAGTAATTGCATCACATTAATCTAAATCCACACTTTTAGTCAAATAGACTTAGGCCGAGGTTGCTAGGCTATGAGACATGCAACTGCTGAATCGAATTCTCTGCATTAATGCATCAAGATTCTAAACGGTCAGAATGAATGAATTTATGAATGAATGAATGAATGAATGAAATATCACTGACTTCAATATGCTTCAATTTTGAGAAATAATAAGGTTACCCAGTGCAACGATACAGTCTCATCATACAATCCTTGGAAAATAATGTTTCTCTCATCAATTTATGAGTAATCTACCATCGTCTGAAATAACTAACAACAACCCTCCTATTTGAAATTTGCTCCAAATTAGGCTATAAATAAGAAAAACACATATTGAGGGGAAATTTTCTTATTGTTAAAATCAAGTCTACATAATTATCTACACTAGTGTTTTCATTATTTTTGTGTAAAATTAGATGTGAAAGTAAAGATAGAACAATGACAGTTATCACTTTTAAAGTGAAACCTTTCCCGGGGTATATGAATGATGGATATGAGTAGTTACATAGTAAATTGTTTGAAACATGTCGTAGAATGGAACTGAAGGAATGTCTGAATACTCTGGGAATGATATGATAAGAAGAGAAATAGATGACTTTCATTGTCACCATTGTGTACACTTCAAGCATGAGCTGAAAATGTGAAGGATGAAATCAGTGTAGAAAATAATCCATGTGAATAAGTCCTATTCCATATGCGACAGTTGGCTACACCAGTCATTGAGCAAGTAATCAGATAGGTGGATAAGTAATTAGTCACGTAACTGAGTGAATTAGTAAGCAAGGACACACATGATTCTAACAATTGACTACAGAAATCCATCTAGAGTAAATCGGCATATTTTCACTTCATAAACAGACAGCCATTATCATATGGTCCATTCCTTCTGAACTGTAGAAATGAGGAACATCACCTCACTTAGCGATTTAATGATGACAAGCGTTGGTCGGTGCTTCATTGAAAGGGATTACATTGAAAAATGCACAAAAATAATTGACGAAAGTGTTTCATTCGCCAGATAAAAATCATTGTATTGAATATCGACTGCATATAGATGAAAATCGAAAATACATCTCTTAAATGCAGTACGACACGTAACTTGATATATACACCATTTTGATCTGATGCAAATGGAACTGATACTGCAAAAATATTGACCAAAACTTCTGGTATAGTTAGTAGAAATGTTGTCCCTGAAATAATCAATAATACAATACACGCTGATAATTCACTTAACTTCGTAATCGGTGTCGAAAGAATTGCAATTTTACGCCTGTGACGCAACCAAACATAGATTTTCACTAGTAATGCTCCATTCAATATTCCATTGATAGCTGTTTGAATAACACATGCTTTTGAAAATAGGCAATAATATAGGGATAGAAATAAATTACTTGGACGTTCATAACATACAATTCTTTTGTGAAACACAGTCCAATCTGACAGAATCACAATTGGTATAGTCATAAGAATAGCTGCACCGAAATTAATGATCACAAAATACCATGCATGTCGTCGGGTTAATTTACCAAATTTCAAAGGAAATTGAATAGCCAACAATTTGTCAAGCATTGTTATAACTAATATATTCCCTTTCAATATAATTATAAATGACGAAATGCTGCGATATAACTTGCAACCGATTCTTGATGTATTGTTTATTGAGAAGAATATCGCTCCATTAGATGCATACGGAAAACCCCTGGCAGGGATCAATCTCAATGTAGCTTCTACGAGGCAAGCGCATGGGTCTATTAACGCAAGAACTCCAAGATAGACAACTTGTCTTGTTTTTTGTTGATAACCGTGTAGGAATATGACAGCATTGATCACATTACAGACGACATTGAATAAAACAATGGGGATTAAAAAATAGGCGCATAGAATACCTTCTAGTGTTGCAAGCATGCACAATACTTGAGATGATTTTGGACTACCACGTTTCACATTCTCACAGATTATGAAAAAATCCCATGGATTATCGAAAAATGGATATGTGGAAATATTGAACGGCATCACCGTATTCAGTGCATCACAGTCTCTCCGTTTATATATATATATATGGGTATTTTTGTCTCTCACCTTAATTGTATTCAAAACAATAATACACAACAGGCATACACAATACCCTGAGTTGTTTTCAATTTGGTTATCTATTTTTCAAACTATTACAAAAAGAGAGTTAACCAAGCTAGTCGGGTAACCATAGTAACTGTTATTTTCGGAATCTGAAATGGTTTGTTTATCGGCTAAACGTACCGTCAGCATTAATTTATCTTACTTATCTATCCTTTTTTGAAAAAAAAGAAAACGCTGTTTTTATTTTATTCACACTAAGGATGTAATTTGCTAACGACATGTCACAAAGATGTTAGACCTGTTTTCAGCATACTGCCATCTTGAATTATATCGCTTTGTTTAAGTTGAAAAGTTAGCTAATTGTTCGACTTAATTATGGTGGAATAATTGATTAGTTATGGGGTGTTAAAATAAATAGTCGTATTTGTGTGACAAACGTAGTGCTAGACTGAAATCGATTATAAAATATTGTGAAATGGCAGACAGTGGTGATAATTAGTCATAATAGATTTGTAGAGTTTGGGGTAGGAAACGTTGACAAGTCAGTTCAAGGTTATAAAAGGTGTCAGGTCAGTGGCTAATACAAAGTAGTATGTACGCGAGAGGAGATAGTAAGACTAAAATGAGAGGTTCATAAGGTTCCGCAGTCTTACAATATTCACCCAGCAACTCACAGATGTCTTACGTAACCTTAGCTCTTCTCCATGCATATACCATTATATAAGGGCACGATTTGGCAGGTTCATCTACATGTTCGAGAGCATTTTCCAGCCTGGTTCAGCAGGGGAAACTAAATGCATAAAAAGGTCGATCTTGTCACATTTGGTTGATATTGGACATCGCGTCGATACCAAAACACAGATTTCAGGGTTACTTACCGAATTCTGAAGTCGTTATCATGTAGGATTCGCTTACGTCTGCTACACATAGCTGAATCTGTTGCAATAAGATCGACTAGACCGGAATTTAGTACCCAAAAAGAACAATTCCAGACGCTGTTCCTACCTAGGTCAAACTTGGCCTGAGGGTTCTTCTTCTCACCAAGAGTGTTACTTTCTCTAAACCTTCTTGGTAATTTTTCTTTCTTTGCTCATTATTACAATTATTATTATTTATACCCTTCATGCAAACAATCTCTCAATACGATCGAATTTTCCATTTATACTATCCGGGCTTATTATTAGTGATATTATCTCTTTTCTGAATATATATGCCTCCGCCTGTTTCATATCACACATTGACTATTTTACGATGAACCTCTCTTAGCAGTCTTACTATCTCCTCTTCAACATGTACTACTTTATACTGGCCACTCATCTACCTGACAGCTTTCACAAACTTGAGCTGACTTGTCAACGTTTCGTACCCCAAACTCTACAAATGTATTATGACTAATCATCACCACTGTCTACCATTTTACAATATTTTATAATCGATTTCAGTCTGGCACGACGTTTGTCACAAAAATACTACTATTTATTTTAACACCCCATAACTAATCTATTATTCTACGTTAAAAAATTTATCCGCTGCATAACTGGCTATTATTTTAACGACAACAAATATTAAATGTGGTGTTTTGTGCTTAACTTATTTAATTTTTCAAAAATGTCTTCATACATATTAGCACATACTCAGCGTAGTTCTCAAATCTTCACAGATGTCCTCTATGTTCCCCCATATCAAATCGCATCAGAGACTAACAGATCGGTCAATTAGCGATAAGGATAACGTCAAATTTTGTGATAAAAATGCTTTACTCACTGTTAACTTTCAAATGATCCGTTTATAAGCTGTAGATAACTGAAAACACTTGTCTTCAATTCAACCACTAATTGATATCAATTAGAGAACCAATGCAAGAATTGACGCCACATTATGTTCCTGTCCATCCCAGGAAAAATGCCAAGTCGCATCATAACTGGAGAGCGTCAAACACGCCGAAATGGATGAAAAACTTCGATCGGAACAGTCTGGGTTTAGGAGGAACAAGTCGTGCATCGATCAACGTGCAACATTACGGATCATCACTGAACAGAGCTTGGAATGACAATCACCTCTTTACCTCAAATTAATTAACTTTGGAAGATCCTTCAGGAGACAGCATCGATTGAGAGGTGATTTGGTAACTACCTCGCTACTACGAAGGGGTACCGCAAACAATTATCAATCTCATCCAACAATTGTACGACAATGCTGCACCCCAAGGAATCCACACAAAAGGGGAGCTCACAGAATCCTTCGGAGAAGTGAAGACAGGAGTAATACAAGCTGGCCGGGTGGCTGCCTACCATCTCCAATGTTTTACGTAGTTGCCGCAGACTGGATAATGCGAGAGACAGGCAGACAGCGACGGACAACGAGGAGAAAGGCATCGAATGGACCCACACAAAATCTTGGAGGATCCAGACTTCCCCCATAATCATATATGTGTGATTTCCCATAAACTGGAAGATGAGTGAAAAGCAAAAAGTTGGCAGAAGAAGCATCCACAGAAGATAGGACAAAAATAGGTGAACAAAGAGAAGACAGAGGTTGGTGATAAAGATCACTGGCCAACGCAGCAGCAACAACAACAAAAGACAACAAGCAGCACAAAGTGGAGAAAGTGTAAGTGAAAGAAGCAACCTTATTTAGCATCCTACCTACCTACCTACTTGGGAAGCATCGTGTCAACCACAGGCGGACGGAACTGATGAGGATATCAAAGCAAGAATTATCGGGAAAACAAAGCAAGCTTTCATTTCCTTCAAGTCTAAGTGGAGGACAACGGCACTCATCATACAAAAGAAGACCAGGATTTTCGACTCCACTGTGATGTCTGTGCTACATAACACGGATCAGAGACTTGGCGCTATGCTGCGTCACAAAGGGCACTCCGAACTAACTACACACCTTCATCAACAGCTGTCTTCGTTCAGTACCATTCAAGATTAGATGGCCATCCAGAAGACATCAGCAACAGGGAGATAGCTCTGGCAATGAATGAACTAACCAGCCCAGCGGGAACCGATTGTGCAACAAATATGCAGGAAGAAATGGAGCTGGATTGGATAGGCCAAACTGTCAGTAAACAAACCATCATCAAGTGAGTGACAATACACGACAGATTATGCATGGCTTGAGCGAAACGCGAATGGAAAGCGGAGAATTTGTCTTCTGAGAATCGGGTGACATGGAGGAGGAGGTCGTGGGAAGAGGAAATGAAACCATGTGGGCAGATGTGGGGCCAGGTGACAAAAGTTTTGGCGGAGACATGGGATTGAAGCCCTATATTCTTCTAGGAACTAAGGAAAGCGATAATAATAGCAGAACTTCAGGCAACCATCGCTGAAGTACTAGACAACTGTTTCGTGCTAGTTTGGGACTCAGTGGCAATACGCACCCACAGGTTACAAGTCACGCCCGTAGACCACTCATCCACTAGGACCCGATTAAATGGTCGTGAATTTTAATTTCTACCAATTCGTGGTAGATGCGTACTTGTAATGAGTCACAAGCTAGAACAAGGTAGCTCTCCCTGGTTTTCAGTGATTCTCTAACCTACATCTGTCCTGTTGAATACCGTCTTCAAGATAACATTTTACTGACGTACTGTTAGTTACTATCAGCTTGTTCCTCAAATTATTTCTTATATAGCAGAGACCATTATTTTTATTTTTTTACTTCTGACCTTTTTTGATATTCCTAATGAATTTCATAGGTTAGTTATTCAACACCAATGCTTCTTCTATTTGTTTCATTTCATCATTTAGGTTTTTCGTTGTACTACTTAGTGGTACTGCTCGGTTTGCGAGACACTTAACTGAGCCAGCCTTCACAGACAGACAATGGATGAAATGAATTAGGGTCTAAATATCTATTAGAATGCATTAACTTTACCTTCTTCTGTACGTTTTATTTTACAATCTAACACCACTAATTTTCCTTGTTCATTTTCCGATTCAAATGTGAATTTTATTCCATCTAATATTGAGTTTATATATGTCAAGAAGCTAGAGAGAGATATGTTCTGTTTTTAACACTGTGTGTGAAAGTGTCACCCGCATATCTCCACCATATTTTTCGAGCAGTATTAAATGTCGTATTTGGAGCAATATTTTCCCATCTGTCTATTGATAGATATCTGCTACGATAGGGGATATTGGTGATCTATCCCATTGCTACACTATCTGTTTGTCTATATATTTTGCCCTGGAATTTAAAGATGGTAGATGTGAGACAGCATAACTGAATTCCTTAAATAATTTTGTCAGTGGCCAGTTTTGTTCTATGATTGAGTTCAGGATCCACAGTAAGTTCTTTTTTAACTGCTTCTAAGGCAGCCATATTGATTGGTATATTAGTATAAAGACTAGTTATATCAAAACTAACCAGTGTTTCATCAGTCTCTAGTTGAATGTCATTTAGTTTATTTTTTCATCTCATATGAATTAGTTAGTGTAGAGTTTGAACGATTTCTAATGGGGCATAGTATTAGAGCTAAGTGTTTTGATAATTCATAAGTAGGCGTATTCCTGAAATCTACTATTGGTCTTATGAGATAGCGTGTTTTAGGTATTTGTACAGTACCATATATTCTACTAGCCCTATTTGCTTTTTTGAGCCACTAAACTAAACCACTTAGACTTATCCAGTGGCGGCTTCATCCTGAATATTAAATTCGTTGTAGATTGCTTAATCTTATTCATTATTGTCCCGACAGCCTACTTAATTTTCTTCACATGGACTAGTTGCAAAGTGACTTCCTTGATAAAGTCGGATTTACCGATAGCTACCGTCGAGTTTCAGGAAAACAAGATATATGACGGAATGGTGTATATTAATGATTGATGAGTAAAAGACTGTATAAGCGAAGAATATCGTTTTCAATAATGCCTCCTCGGCCTTTATTCTAACAATGTAAATAACTTTATAAATAAATGTTAAATATAAAC